TCCATTGCTAGTCCGCTAGGATGGTCAATAAGAACTCCTAAAGCTAGATCCTAGGTTCTAAGAGTAGGAGACTAAGACCTCACTAAAAATGAGGTCAACAGTATGCAAAAGACGTGTTTAAGGGTAGGAAAAGTTTCACATACACATCTCCTAACCATTTAACTATAATCATAGAACAATTTGCTACTATGTTTCCTAATACTATATAGTGTAAGTGTTAAAATTTTGCGAGTTTTCGGACATGATTTGTGGCTCATGAGACAATAACCCAAGATGTTGTGGAGACTTCCTAACATTGTCATTAAAAATGTGCTAAAAGGTTTCTCGTCAAGAGTTAATGTCAAGCCTCCGATCTTTTTAATCTCTTCTCCATTGAGTTCTATTTTGATTGTTTGACATTATTGTTGATTTGTTCTGTCAGATGGACTTGAACTGAGACCATTGTTCATCTTCTCCGTTTTTCCATTATTATTTTTGTTGTTTATTATGTAGTTTCCATCAATTCTTTTTAGTGCAACTTGATTTCTTGTAGTTGGCGCACCATATGCCATCCTTGTTGTCCCTCTGTTTATTGTTTTTGTTATCTCTTTGCTAGAATTCGGATGGATCTATTTTTTTACTTTCCACCAAGTCTAAATGGTTCAAATTCTGTGGCTCAAGCATTATATCTCATCAACTTTCTTCTGCTTGAATTGGAGAAATTGTCTCCTCAAACGAAAGTGTATTATCTATAAGAAGAATATTAAATCTTAATTTATCAATTTACAGTTTGGAAGTCATATGCTTTTGCCCCTAGAAATGAAATCCTTTGATATGGTAGCTTTTTTTGGCATTTCATATCAAATATTTGATAGTGGTCCAGTTATTCTGATAAACTTTTCAATATAGGAAGATTTACATGCATAGGACTCAATTCTTATGTATTTACAAATCTAACAGCTAAACTTCATTATTCACACACACACACACACACACACACACACACACACACACACACACACACACACACACACACACACACACACACACACACACACACACACACACACACACACACACACACACACACACACACACACACACGCACATATATATATATATATATTACCTAACCTATGGATAAAAAAATGTATTTTACTTTTAAAAAGTTAAAATAATGGTATATTTTATGTGATATGAAGTATTTGGCTAGTATGAATGTATAAATTGAAGTTTGGTGTTAGATATGTAAATACATAAGAATTGATTCGAATGTACGGAAATACCCTTTTAAATTATTGGCATACCATGTTACCGTTTTGCTTCTCGTGTAGTTTTAGCCCGCCACACTTCAATATCATATATTTAGGCTGCATCCTGTTTTTTTTAGCAGGTGCCACTTATTGATGGATTTATTGATTCCCATAGCCATGCCATGATTAAAGAATCAGCTCTCTTGCTTAAATGTCGGATCTCCTCTTGTTGATCCTATTCTCACTTTGACCTTCAAATATGTTCTGGAAAATTTTGATCAATTGAGATTTTTTTTTTCACACTTCAGGCTAAGATCTGATGTTTTGCAGATCTCCAATTTTTTAAGCTGAGTTGACCTCGTCATGTTGAACGGTGGTAAAATTAGTAAGAAAATCGGAAACTAGTCTGCCAATATTTGCAAAATATATTGTTTTACATCTTTTTTTAACTAAATGTGCATAATTACATTCCTAGTTGAATATATACAATCGGATTTCGAGCTTCCTTTTTCCTGTTATAACCTTCTCCCACCATGTCGTGGACTTTTGTCTAGTATCGTGGTTTACAATAAATATTCATCTAGTTATAAACAAAAGTTTGATTTAAACATGTGCATCTAACTCTTTTTTGAGTTACAATGCTCTAGAAAAAGGATGGGAAATTTTATGGCTTTCTACTGAATTTCATGATTTAATGCAGTGCATATCATATGTATCATAATATGTTATTTACTGATGTAGATATTTGAAGTTGGAGATATTGTTTCCCTGGATGGGACTCGCGACGTTGGTGCGTCAAACAATCGCCGGTTAGCGGCTTTGTATTGCAATGTTACTTCAGGCTTTGAGGTATCTTTTCGCTCCACCTACTTGGTAGCGCCAGTTTACCTTTAGAAAGATTCACTTACATACCACTCAATTCCTATGTATTTACATATCTAACGCCTGAACTTCAATTTTTACATACACGCCACCTTAACTATCATAAAAAAGGTGTATTTCACGGTTTAAAGGTTAAAATGGTGGTATTTTTGATATGTTGTGAAAGATTTCGTTTATATAAATGTGAAATATAAAATTTTAGGTGTTAGATATGTAAATACTGAGGAAATATTTCAACTTGTTAAATCAAAGATAATTACATACAGCCTTCAAATAAAAAATAAAAAGGAGCTTTTTTTCAACTTTCCAATATATATATTTTTTTCTTTCTGTAATGCTTTGTTGACATATTCTTTGCAGGAAATTTTGGGTTTGGTGATGAGAATTATGCAAGTTGTACGAAAACCGCATGAACTTGCTGCTGATAACTTCATACAGCCTTCAAATGTAAGGTTTACGAATGTGCAAAATTTGACATATAATGACATTTCTCCTGATGTTTTCTTAATCTTTTTGCTTTTGGGAATTGAAGGAACCCGAATTTTTTCCAAATCGCCAATGTTTCATTAGCTACAAAGATAGGCAGATTGGCGCTTTTGGTGTTGTTCATCCGGAGGTATGCATGTTTTCACTTCTTGATATGTGTAGGCAATTATGAAATCTGTATTAGATACAATATGGACGTGTGAAGTTAAGCAGCCCAACAAAGGGAAAATTAGATATGTACACCCGAAGCATTGCTATTTTAAACTACCGAATCAATGTATTTACACGTGCCACATCAAATCGTTGAGAATTTGATAAAAATGAAAAATATAGGTAGGGAGTTTTATCATGATTTTAAAAGGGAAAAATACACCTTTTTACGTGAAGGTTTAAAGCACCAGAGCGCTAGCTATATGAAAATTTGAAAGTTTAGGTATGAGATATGGAAATACATAAGAATTGCGTGTTAGGTAAGTAAATTACCCTAAAATTTTTAATGTTTGTTTCTAATGAGGGAATTATTTTCAGGTGTTAGAGAAATTTGGAATTCCGGATCCGTGTTCTTTTGTTGAGATCGACATTCAGGCTTTATTATAAATCAGGTCCCTTCAGCCATATGAATCCAGGTCAACTTTATTCGTTCTTCCAACTTTTTTGGAAATTATTTCAATTAAGCTTGGTCTTCCAGGGACTTTATGAGAAGGCCTATTTATCTCGGTTGATTATTGTTAGTCAAATTATTGTAATTACTTAAAAATTTGCAAGCTTATCTATTTTATATTTATTTTTGGCCCCACTACTTTATTATTTTTTACTTCATTTTTGAGAAAACTTTGATTAGACTATAGACTAGTGCAAAAAAAAGGTTTTATTCCTCGAATTAGATTTATATAAATTTTAATTATTTTTATTATTACTTTATGTTATAGATTTATCTAAGTTTTAAGAAGATATACATGCAAAACACTATATATATATATGCGCACGCGCGAATAGGTGTATTCAACATGCAAAAGTTAGTAAATGCCCCTAATATTATTTATTTTTAGTTTGATATTTCTCATACCTTTAATGCCTTGATATAACATTTCGCAATAATCATCATATTAGTAGCACTAAGCATATTATTTACAATATCAAAGGTATCATAGCTATAAAATAGTTAATATCCGGCTTTTTCCTTAAAAAAATATATAAATTACACAATTTTAAAGATTAATTTGCAAACGAGTCATCAGCCAGGCAGAGCAGCTAACCAAGGGAGCAGCTTTTCATGAACTAAATCTGGCATATCATCATGGGGACAATGCCCAACTCCTTCCAACAAGTAGAGACTAACATTAGAAAGCCGAGGAGGAAGAGAACTGAAATATTTCCCAACCGGGCCATCAATAGGAGTAAATGGGTCTTTATCTCCCCATAAAATTAGAGCAGGAATAGTTATTTTTGGCATCAGTGACGTTGGATTCGGGCCTGGTGGGCCTGTAACAATGGAGATGAAGGCATCCAGAGCCCCTGCATCATCTGTTGGGCCCTTAATGATCTGGATATTCAAAATAACAAAAAAAAAAAAAAAAAACCAAATACAGTTCAAATTAATATTTCATCTTGTCAAGTATGTATCGAAATTCTTTAGACAGAAAAAAGTGATTTTAGAAAATGAGGATTTTGTTGAGTTGTAAAGCTAAATTTATGACATCCCAGATTATTCATTTATGAAGGGAACCGTGCTATTAGGCAATTGCTGAGATATTAAGACAAATTTTAAAATAATTTACATAACCACCACCCAACTCCTTTGTATTTACATCTCTAGCCCTAAACTTTACTTTCTATATCTAAATCACCAAAACCTTTCATCGCATTAGAAGTACCACTATTTTAACTTTCAAAAAGTGAGAGACACCGTTTTCCATGCATAGGCAAGGCAGCTTGAAAGTAAAATTTTGATGTGGAATGAAAGACTTAGGTGACATTTATTTAAAAAAATAAAATTTTGAAAAACATAATTTTTGGGCCGGTTTATAATCATCATATACATTTTGGCTTTCTAGGCGAGCACGTTCAAAAATCAAATGCATAAAAGAAAAAAAGAATACCTCAATCAAATCACCATCAACAGATTCCTTATTTCCATACACTGAAAGCAGAATATTCTTTAGATTTTCCCTGCCATAGCTTAAAACAATGAGGCAGTTTGATTTTGCAAAAAATTGCAAAAATGTTGGAGTTTTAATGTGTCATCAAGTACTCTTTTTTTAAAACATTTTCAAATATACCAGAAAGTACCTTTTTTTAACATTTTCAAATATAGCTGATGCAATAGTCCTCTGCTTTAGAAAGAAGTCAAGTAACCACAGCAGAGGCAATATAAGTTTTATCCTCCAGTCATCAACAATTGCTTTATTATTCATTCCACCAGCACAGTTCAGCAGCACAATCCCCCTAATCAGACCTTGGGTTGCTTCTGATTGGATGGAAAATTTTGAAAAATTGATTCACATGTAGGAGTACTCTGAAAATATCTTTTTTACCTTAGAATTAAAAAAGAAAAAACCTTTGACCAAAAGTTGTTTCAGAAAGAAAATAAAGGGAGATTTACATATTTACCACGCAACTTTTATATATTTTAACAATTACATCAAAGCATGTGCACGAAAAAGGTGCATTTCAGTTTAGGAAATTCAATATTAGTGGTATTTTTTATGTGAGGTCAAAGATTTATGTGTTATGTGAGTAAGACATGTAAATACATAAGAATTGTGGTATGTACGCAAATTCCCCAAAAATAAATGATGAGATAGTTTTCAAGTTAGTCTCTGTAAATCTGACTTAATTTTGCAGCAACAAATTTTCCAATGCTTAGATTAATGAGAACAACAAGAAATGACTTGAGTTTGTAAACCATTGTGTCATACATGAAGGCTAGCTACTGTGAGATGGGAATATGCTAAGAATTTAATTTGGCCATTTACATACATACCACCCAATTCCTGTATGTTTACAGACCTAAGACCAAAACTTTATTTTTTTTACATTCACATCATCCAAATCTTTCACATCACATCAAAAATACCACATTTTTAACTTTAAAGAAGTGAAATACACCATTTCATGCATAAGTAACGTGGCATGCATGTAAATATTACAGAATTGAGCGGTATGTATGTCATAAAAATAAAATACATTTACCATACCTGAAGCAGCGATAACACATGCAAGGCTCCCAACTGAATTTCCAATTAAAACTGTTGGCTTTTTAATGACTTCACACAAGAAATCCAAAATCAGCTATTAAGATAAGAAAATTGCCATTTAGTTTGGATAAAAACGGCCATAAACCAAAATCATGAGCTTTTTTAAATATAAGAAAGACCTGAGACCAAACTTCCATAGTGTATGAAAATCCTGTTGGCTTATCTGAAGACCCAAATCCAAGAAGATCAATGGCATAAACCGTGTAGTTTTCAGATAAAACTCCAATATTCCTAAAAATTGCACAATATACGAAACAAGAAAAAATTTATTGCAAGAATTCAAAGTCATGCACCTGAACAAAATAATCACCTAAACTAAAATCATTGAAATGGACGTTGTAACACTGGGAAGGAGAGAGTATAGACTGATTGTATTAGAAAGATTGGTAGTGATTATGGATGAGAAGATCATATAAAATAAAATGAAGTGGTTTTTGTTATTATGCGGAGCTAGTTCCCAATTTTACCGAGTAGTGCCCCTCAGGATGGGTTTGGATTTGTATCGGCAGCGTTAAAGTATCAGCGTCGTAGCGCTGATGGAGAAGCACTCCCGGAGAAAAGGTTATTTCGAAACCTATGAACATGAAAACATAGCGCCATATTTGAGCGCCGCATCCTGATGAGGAGCAATTCCTTCTAGGTTTTGACCATTTTTTTTACAGTTGAAGAACGATAAAAGAAGGCCCAGAGAGGGTCATTCATAACTTTTTAGAAGTAAGTTCTGCGATTTCTCAAAAGAGATTTTGTATTCTCTTGTGCAATAAGTGGAATGCAAATATCATTGTGTCCAAAATATGAAAATGTTTGAGTGTGGTGTAATTTATAATAATCTCCTCATTTTTATTTCATAGCAGATTTCTCAGTGAGGTGCGACTCCATAGTTTTTTTTACCATTCATAGGTTTTTCATGGTTAAATATGATATTTTGTGTTTTCTTGCTTTGTGTGCTTCTGTTCAAAGTTTTGTTTTGGATCTCTCTAATATGCTTCCGCAATTTGCCTCGCTTAATAATTTGGAAATCAAACTTGTATATATACATAAAAAAAAAAAAAAAAATCAAGATGCACCAATGAGATGGAGATTTGTAGTTATAGAGATTAAACAAAAGAATTGATATATAATCACTTCAAAAACTTGATAATAGAAAAGAGTTTAATGTGAAAACTAATAAATCATGCTACTTATTAACAATATTTGACAATTTATTACTTGAAGAGTTAAATATATGAAAAGAGAATTTCAAATATGTTGGATGATGTGAGTGTTGGCATTTAAGAAATAATCAGCTCAACAATAAACAAAGCTGAAATAAAATGTAAAAACAAAAATCGCAATTAAAATCTCCCAAAATTCTATTTGGCTTTATCTAAGCTCAATTTTGCATAACCCAAACTTAGGGTTTGCTTTTCAATCTCCTGACCGGCGCCAGTGGGCGAGAGAGGCACCGAAGCCATGAACAAGAAGAAGCGGGGGTCCCCTTCCCTTCACCAGAAAATTAATACTGTAACCTTTCCACCTCCATATGCTGCAGCACTCATAAATCTCCTTCAAAGCTCCGCTGAGCTCCGGTAGATTGGGGGCGACGCTGCCACTCCCAGCAGCAATCTCGACGCGAATACTGCGGAGACTGCCATTAGAAACTCTGTAGGGGCTTAAAGCTTGCAAAGAAGGAGAGGACGAAGAAGAGAAAAGGGAAGGAAGGAGAAGAGCGCGAAATGAGGGAAGAGAAATCGCCGGACATTTTTGGTGAAAGAAGGTCGCCGAGATCTGAGCCATACAGTTTTCTGTATGCAGGCAGGAAGGACCGCATATAAATTGTAAGGTTCAGAACAAATTTGCATTTCATTTGACAATATTTCACCCCTAAACTTCAATATTTACATCTATATCCCATTGGCACTTAAAACGTTCGTTTATATAAAAATAGCAAACTTATTGATGCGTGCCAAAAATTCACGGCAGTAGAGTAACGAATTATCATCTTAGCATTGTACTAGAATTTTACACACACTCAGATGAAAAATAAAAAAATTGTGACTACTCTACAAGCTTTTACGTGAAAAGCCCGTAAAGGAAAAAATCATAGGATCTGGTCCAACTGCGAAAATTCACTATTAATTGATAATTACAGAAATCCCTTTATCCCACTGACAGAAAATAGTAATTATATTTTTTCAGATTATGACGTTGATTGATAGCGTCTGGTTTGTGGTGATCGATGACGGTTGGCGGAGATCGACGACGATCGGTGATGGTCTTCGGGGGTCGACAATGGTCGACTGCGATCGGCAGTGGTCGTTGGCGGTGGTCGACGATAGAGGTCGGCGGTGTTCGACGACGATCGACGGTGATGTTGAACTACAGCTTTTCCTCAAGGTCTCAGACTCTCTTTCCAAACTTCAGCCCCCCTAATGATAGAAATGAAACTCTATTTATAGTGTTCTAATTAATGCATAAATATGAAACATTTTGATCGGGCAATCCGGAGTTTCTCTTAATCATATAGTTTTTACCGACTGGACATTTGAGTGTCTTGCAGAATTGAGTGATCTTGAGCTCGTTGGATTTGTCTAGTCGAGCCGCTCGATTCGATATAAACCTGTCATATTCGACAACCCTTTGATCTTTCAAATGTGTCTGAAAATCATTTAAGTGTGGTTCAATGACTTGATATGGGCTTGATTTGACTCGGACTGTGCTAGTTTTTATATCATTAGGTACGTCTCATCAAGTCGGTCAGTTTGACTATAAGTTTGCTGAAATCGGAGCTCTAGATGACTTTTTATCAATATTTGAATGTTTCATGCTTAAAAAATCGTCTCGAGATTCGTGTCAAATGATGAAAATTTGTTGGCAGCATATCAGTTGCCCTCCTATTTTCGTGCAAGAACATTTTTATCGTCCGAAAATATCAATATTCATAGAACAAAATAAATAATATTTTTATAAAGGAATTTGAAGAGGTCTTCAAATTCCGAAAATAAGATTAATAGAATTTGACTTTTTTTTAATATAAATTTTATTTATTTATTATTATTTATGAGCATTTAATGCTTTTTTTTAATTTTCATATTAATGTGCATTTATTGACCATGACTCTTTTTGAGCCTATAAATAGGGGTCTGAAGGAGAGGGTAGAGGTGTGACGGTGCATTGCGACAACGCGACGGGTAGGGGCGTTGCAGCGGAGCAGCGCGACTAGGTGGGGCAACGCGATGCGACGGCGCGACACGGCGGGCGTGGTGGGGCAACGCGTTGCGGCAGTGTGGCACGGCGACGCGTTACGGCGTGACAACGCATTGCAACGGTACGTCGCGGTGATGCAGAGACACATTGCAGTTGTGTGTTATGATGTCGTGACACATTGCAGAGGTGTGACACGGCGATGTGTTGTAAAAGTGTGTCGCGATGACGTGTTACGGCGTGACAATGCGTTGCAACGGTGCTTTGCGGCGGCACAGAGACACAGTGCAGTTGTGATGTCGAGATGCATTGCGACAGTGCGACGCGACGAAGCGTTGTAGCGTGGCGACACTTTGTGATCGTGTGTTAGGGCGACTCGTTGCAGCGCATTGACGGCAGTGCGACGCGGCGAAGCGTTGTAGCGTGGCGACACATTATGTTCGTGTGTTAGGGCGACGCGTTGCAGCGCATTGACGTGTTGTGGCAGTGTGTCGCGGCGACACGTTACAGTGTGACAGCGCGTTGCATTGGTGCGTCGCGGCGGCGCAAAGATGCATTATAGGAGTGCATTGTGATGTCGTGATGCATGGCGGTGGTGCGACACGGCGAAGCGTTGCGGCGAGGCGGCGCATTGTGATGGTGCGTCGAGGTGACGCATTGCAGTGCAGCGACGTGTTGTTGCACTGTGTCATAGCGACGTGCTGGCGAAGCATCGCAGTGGCGCGATGCGTTTGATGCCCAATGTCATGAAAAAAGGTAGGGGTGGAGTCCTCAGCTGATTCATGATTTCTCAGAATAAAATCATTTTGTGCAGTGGTGAAGAGTTGCGGTGCCAAGTCACTGTGCAGAGTGGGTGCCAAGTTACGACACAGAGTTGCAGTCCCGATCTACGGTACAGATTTGCGGTGTCGAGTTGTGGCGTAGAGTTGCGGTGTCGAGTTGCGGCGCAGAGTTTTGGTGACGAGTTACATTTAGAGTTGACGTACCGAGCTACGGTGCAGAGTTGTGGTCCCAAGCTATGGCGTAGAGTTGCGGTGCTGAACTACGGTGCAGAGTTGTGGTCCCGATCTACGGTGCGGAGTTGCGGTCCCGAGCTACAGTGCAAAGTTGCGGTGTCGAGCTGCGACGCAGAGTTGCGGTGAAGAGTGAAAGTCGCCTTCAACTTGTATAGCAAGCGAGCAACGAGTTCTTTTTTCTCATTGATGTCGTGCATTTTGCAATAGATTCCAGTGCCTCTCTTGCACATTCCAAAGGTGATGAAAAAATGTTAAAGTTTTCCTGTCACACTTTGAGGGGAAGATTTTCATGCTTGTGGTGGTGATATCTGGAGACCCCTTGACGATCATAAGAAGTATTAGAGTTTTGGGGAGGCGATGACGACTCTACTTGGAGATGAGCGGATTTGTTGTAGCTCTTGTACAAATATATGTTGGTTATTGTAGTATTTTGATGTGACATTTGTAGATGTTAATAATATGTTTCTTTGTACGTCTTTGACGTTGCTTATGAGATTATTGTAGTTTTATAACCGTATGAAATTCTGCAATTAAAGTTAGCACACTCATTTTATAAAATGAAGAATCACATACTTTTTATGGTTCTTGCCTTTCGAGGTTGTGCTCTCTCGAACTTATGTTTTATAAGAGCTTGAACTAGTACCTACTAAGGCTCATAGCCTTCTGAGGTCTTTTCGTGTTTCTGTGCCTTTTGAGGCTTGACTTCTTGGAGCATTGTAGTTTTTCATCGAGTCTTGTTTCCTGGGATCAACTTCCAGGGGTATGGTTGAAAGAAAAATTCTATTAAGGATGTAAGACCAGTTCTGAGTTATATAACCAGAGATGTTCGACGGTATTAACTCGTAATGAACAAAGTCATATGAAATCCACTGAGGATGGTTGACGTATCCTATGTTGTTGGACAAAGCTTTTGCTTGACGACCGTAATCTGTTATGGACGAGATCGGAGAAAACCCACTAAGGATTTTTGACCTATCCAAGGCTGTATATCGAGGATTTTGCTTGACTGCTGTAGCCTCTAATAGAAGAGGTAGAATCGACTTCCCCTGGGATCGACTAAGCCTAGAATGAGGTGTCAGAGTTGCTCTGTATTTCTCGAGACTATGGCGTAGGTTGCAATAGACCGTATATTTTTTTAGAAATATGGTTGTAGTCATACTCAATAAAAATGTCTGACAACTTATTAGTTGCTTGCTTTTGAATCCTTTTTCCCATCAGCTTGAGCGTTTTCCACGTGAGCTTGTAAAACAACCCATGTATCGGGCCTTGAAGATATCGACTTCTTGATCTAGTTGAAGAAGAACCCTAGTACGATGAGATGGCGCAAAGGAAGTGTTATTTGCGGTAAAGATTGCCCCCCCAGTACATGAGTGATTTTTGTAAACTTGTAATCTGAATGAAATGTGGGATGACTTCCCCACCATAGTCGTGACCTGAACATTAACATGAACGATCTTTTGAGACTGCAGTGAATGTTGTCCTCCAACATTTCGAGACTGTAGTGAAGGTTGCCCCCTACATTGAAAAATGCATCGGAGAAGATCTTCATGATGTGAATGAGGCTCCTTCGTCAGTTTGATGAAGTACGTCATTGAGAAAAGAAGTAGGGGCTCAGTGTCTTAGAGTTCAAGACAATGCTGAACGAGACTTTGTTTCCCACAGACGACACCAAACTGATGCGTGCCAAAAAATTCACGGCGGTAAAATAACGGATTAACGTTAACGGATTAACCTTTTAGGGTTGGCCGAGAATTCTGCACACACTCAGATGAAAAAAAAAAAAAAACAGTGTCTGCTCCATAACTTTTTACGTGGAAAGCCCGTAAAGGAAAAAACCACGGGGTCTGACTCAGTTGCGAAAATTCATTATTAATTGATGATTACAAAAATCCCTTATCCCAGAGACCGGAAATAGTAACTATGTTTTTCAGATTATGACGTTGACGGACAGCGTCTGGTTCTTGATGATCGATGACGGTTGACGGAGGTCGACGACTATCGGTGATGGTCTTCGGTGGTCGGCGATGGTCGACTGCGATCGACGGTGGTTGACAACGGAGGTCGGCAGTGGTCGACAACGGAGGTCAGCGATGTTCAACGACAATCGACGGTGATGCTGAACTACAGCTTCTCCTCAAGATTTCAGACTCTCTTTACAGACTTCAACCCCCCTCATGAGAGGGATAAGACACTATTTATAGTGTTCTGTGTGCAATTAATGCAAGAATGTGAAGCATTTTGATCGGTCGATCCGAGAGCTTCCCTTTATCGAACAAAGTTTACTGGATATTTGAGTGTCTTAATGATGTCAAAATTGAGTGATCTTGAGCTTGTTAAATTCTTCTTATCAAGCCGCTCGATTCGAGTATAAACTTGTCATGTTCAACAACCCTTTGATTTTTCAAATGTGCCAAAAATCATTTAAGTGTGGTTCAATGACTTGATCTGAGTTTAATTTGACTCAGATTGTGTTAGTTTTTATATCATTATGTCCGTCTCATCAAGCCGGTCAGTTTGATTATAAGTTTGTTGAAATCAAAGCTCTGGGTGACTTTTTATCAAAATTTGAATGTATCATGTTTCAAACATCGTCTCGAAATTCGTGTCGGATGATGAAAATTTGTTGGTGGCGTATCTCTTATAAATCAAATGAGTGACTTGTTAAACTTATAAAAATGAACAAGCCTTTAAACGAAGAAAATATTAAATGAATAATTAAAAACAATATATAAATAAGTAAATAAACGAACAACAAATAAATCAGGTCTTTATCTTATTTTAGGTAGTGTCTTAAAATTGTAATTTATTTTAATGTAAATGAGTTTGAAATTGAATTTTAATTGAGTTTATTAATATTCTTTAAATTAAGTTTTAATCGATATCATTCATGAAACCTTAAATCAAGATTTTTGGAGAGTTTATTCATGAAACTTTAATTAAAAATATTCACAAGTTTTTTAATGAACTTGTTTGCTAGCTTTAACTAATATTGTTTGTGAACATAATCAAATCAAATAAGAAGTTGATTAAATAAGTTCATTTAATAATTGAATATTAATAACAATGTTCAAAATTACTAAATTAGTTAATAAAACGAACATGAACAAATACTTATCGAGCCAAGCAACAAATAGTTTAATAAATTTTTTGTTGGTTTACAACCCTAACTTCCGTCACCACCCGCCCTAATCTTCTATATGGTCTCCCCCCTTTCTTTCTCCACATAAGCAAAACATAAACTCTCTCAACCCTATCTTCCTCTTGGCAACACTTCTCAATTGAACATGTTGTGACACCTTTTTTTATATTTAATGTTCATTATATATAAGCGCTGGAATTATTATGAAATGAAACTTATATTCTTTATTTTATTGAGTCGGTCAACCCTTGTAATCAGCTTTACCTCGATCGACTCCTAATTAATTGATCCCTGTCATATCATTTTCTTATCGGTATGCCTTTGTGTTTGTTGGCCTTGGGTATGCCGACCTACAGTTGCTCGTTTTTTTACCTGCCGCTCGCTCGATCGGTCTTTGATCTGTTGTCAAAGATTTGGTTTATATAAATGTAAAATATAAAATTGAGGTGTTAGATATGTAAATACGTAAGGATTGGATGGTATGTATGTGTATGCCTAAAAAAAGGCCCGCACCAATCTTGAGACAGTTTGGCTGTCTAGAACAATAGGGACAACTTAAAGAATAATCCTCTAACGAAAAGCCACAAATACTTATAAAGTCGATTAATTGAGCATTTAGCAACCATACAACGAAGGATTGGTGACCGACCAAACGATTATCTAGGCTGAGCGTAAACAAACAGTCTTCCGACGACTGAACACAGGTCCATACCATCCAACAATCTCGCAAACATCAACATGAGGATTTCTCAGCACTGCCCCAAATATCACCAGATAACAAACAAAGCTAATCGACCATGGTAGAGCCGACCGACCACCTTGATTGATCTTTAAGAGCGACAATCAACCGATATCTGACAAAATAGCCCACTGACATAAACACGGTTGACCAACTTAATGACTTGCCAGCTAAAAGGTCCAAGAATATTAAAAGATGACTAAATCAATTGCAAACACGAAAAGACATAACAAAAGACAATAATGTCATGTTAACTCTTTTATTAAAGTAGGGACATATATGTAATTTTAACTTTGAGACCTCCTGTATTTTATGTATATGAGCCGAAACAGAGTTTAACTTGAGCAAATGAATTTTAATGGAGCCAAAGCCGAATATCAAGCTCGGATGTTTTACTCCTCGAGATATGAAAACTTCGATGGTGTGAATGTAAAAAATAAAGGTATGAATGTAAGAAAGAAAATTTAGGTGTGAGTTATGTAAATACATAAAAATTGGGCGATACGTAAGCAAATGCCCAAAAACTTGATATTTTCAATAGGATGTACCCAATTAGTGGGACGGGCTTTTGGCCGATGCAGAGTTTGGACTTAGCTTTCGTCGCCTCGACCATGGAGGATATAATGGAATAAGTTTGAGAAAACTAAGAAATATTTAAGAACAAAACCCATAAAACCCCTCTGTTCCTCTTTTTCTGCTGAGCCATCGATGCTCTTTTGAGCACCTCAAATTTTTTGCCTTCAATCTTATGGAGGGCTGTATGTAGCTCTAGCCGCGCAGTAGCTGTCGGAAACCCTAATTTTCTCCGCCAAATTCTGTAAACCTAATTTTCTCTGCCCCTTTATTGCCCCTTTCTCGCACTTTTTCTTTTCGGTGCAGTTAGTGACGGTTCTAGGACGAATTGGAGCTCTCTTCCGCCATTAGGGCTTGTAGGTGGTATTTGGAAGATGGAAGGGGGCGGAGCGGCGTACAATCCTCGGACGCCTGAGGAGGTTTTTCGGGATTTCAGAGGTCGCCGGGCCGGCATAGTCAAGGCTCTAACTACAGGTGTCTCATTCTCTAGAACTTCTCTCGTCTTCCCTCTCGTTATCTACTTCCACCACTCTGCATTTTTCCTGTTTTGGAATGATTTATTTGTGACTTGCTTTCTGATTTACTGTAAGCTGGAACTTCCCTCTTACTGCAGATGTGGAGAAGTTCTACCAGTTCTGCGATCCAGGTGAGCTGTATTCCACAATGCTAGACTTTCTGGCTTTTAGGGTTTTTTATTCAGTCTTCTGTTAAATCTGTGTTGAAGCCGGAGAATTGTGTTTTTGGAATGATTTGAGATATTTGGATCATCTCGCTTCTGTGGTTGTGGAGATTTGCATTTGGGATTATTTATTTGGTTAGACTGTGTAAAAATTGGAAAAAATTTTTTCTTATCTCATGCTTTTTAATTTATTTATTATAAGTTGACTTTCTTATTGTTATTTATTATTATTTTTTTGTTAAATTGTGGTCAAAGGGATGATTCCATTTTTAATCTCTTGGGCGTGAAGATGCATTCATAGCTTTGAATGTGTTCTGAGAAGGTTTTTGGAGCTAGAAATCAATATTGGTGTCTAACTTGAACGATTTAATAAATTTGCTATTTTTTAAAGCATTATTTCAAAATTTAAACGAACCAAAAAGGCACTGATATAGAAATTTATCTTCTCCTGCATCTAGAACAAGCACGCTTTATACTTTATGGTGTTTATAAAGACCTGTTAATTTTGATGTTTGTCACAAATATGGGTGTGTAAATGAGTCTAGTAGAGCTTGAGGCCACCCTAGGCTCGTCTTGTTTATATATTAGGAAAGAGAGAAAATAATATTAATTTAAACTATTGTTATTATAAAATGATATAAAATGAGCAATTACGAGATGAATAATAAGAAATTTCTTGATATAAAATGTAAAATATTATTTGTTGGTGATTTACATTTATACCACCCAATTCTTATGTATTTACATATCTAATGCCAAAAGTTTTATTATTACATTTATATCACTAAAATATTTCATGTTACCTACTTTAACTTTTAAAATGTGAAATACACATTTTTGAGCATAGGGAAGGTGGCATCTATGTAAAAAATGAAGTTTGTGTGTTAGATATGTAAATACAAAAGAATTGAGTGGGGTATGTAAGTAAATCTTCCTATTTTTTATACATTTTTATTAATTTTAATATAAAAGTTTAAAATTTTAATATATTTTGAATAATTTTTTCGGCAATAATTCTTTTAAGAAGTCGGTTCATGAGCTAACGTGTTGAGTTTGGGCTGGCTTGAGCTTGGCTTGTCAGTTCATCGACTCAATAGCTCACGAACCACTTGTTGAGTCGAGCTCATGCCAACTCACAAATAAGAGTGGCTCAACTACACCCCTAGTCACAACACTAGCTCTCTCTCTCTCTCTCTCTCTCTCTCTCTCTCTCCTTCTCATATGCATATTTTATCGATCTGTCGTTGAACATGTGATTTTCATTTTCATGTGCATTGCTTCTGTTATTGAGGTTTTCAATGATGCAATGAGGTTTTTATCTATTTATTTATTTATTTATTTAGAAAAGGAGAATTTGTGTCTTTATGGGAATCCTAATGAGACATGGGAAGTCACCTTACCTGCTGAAGAAGTTCCTCCGGAGCTTCCTGAACCTGCATTAGGAATTAACTTTGCTAGAGATGGTATGGATGAAAAAGATTGGCTATCTCTTGTTGCTGTTCACAGTGATTCATGGCTATTGTCAGTTGCCTTCTACTTTGGAGCTCGGTTTGGTTTTGACAAAGAGTCGAGGTAACTTTTGTCCCGTAGTCTTTACATTCATATCACCCAATTCCTATGTATTTACATATCTATCACCTAAACTCAGCTTTTTATATTTATACCATCGTAAATTTTCATATCAAATAAAAAATACCACTATTTAAACTTTTAATAAGTGAAATGCATCTTTTTCAATCATAGGTAAGGTGATATATATATATATATATATATATATATATATATATATATATGTAAAAATTGAGGTTTAGGTGTTATAAATGTAAATAAGTAGGAAGTGAGTGGTATTCATGTAAATATTCCTTTTTGTCAGTATGTTCTCATAATTTGTTGTGATTAAGTTAGCAATGTCTACATATAAATTTTCTTAAATGCCCTTTGGTACTTGGATTGATTCTTTATGTTTATATACACCCTTTACTGTGATATATAGTAGTTAATTGTGGTACCATATTTATCATGTCCATTAATTTTGAAATTGGGGCAAATTGCCTCTTCAGTGGCTTTTATTCGCATTTTTTATTCGTTTTAATGATTTATTTTTTTCATATGAGATAGTTTTATAAGTGCTTTGGTTTTCATTTTTTTTCATGGTCCTCATCATCATCAGCCTTATCCTTACCATATAGATCCGGCTCTATGAATCCTCATCCTTCATTCGTCCTTCTTCAGAATTGTCGAACTATATTGCAAATGTTCTTTTACTTTTGCAACTTTTTTCTAGATATTATATTTGTATTTGAAATTTGAAACAAATTTTGTTTCTTGAATTATTTTCATGTTTTTTTTATCAGGATAAAGAAATAGTAATTTTCCTTTAACGAATGTTTTTGTGAGGCTTGTAAAATGCGATTTTATGGGTTTGATGAAGTGTTTATGTACATATGAGTATACATAAATCATAAATTGTCTACTGATACGATAATCTTGTAATAGTTATTGTAGACCGATTACTGTAGATAACTCGTATAAAACTCTGTGTGTGAATTTTTTTTTGGTGTTTATTCTGAGGGGATATAATGTTCTTTGGATGAATGAACTGTTTTTCAGCGTTGAAGGATATTACTTCCATTGATATTTTAGCTCAAGGTATCAGAAAGTACTTGCAAATAATCAATTTTAGTGGTTAATGTTTTGACAGTCAGGTTTGGAATGACTTTATATTTTGTGATAAAAGGCTGATTTTTAAAATTAGATGAGGGCCGCAGTAGATTAATGGTCTGTTTGGGGTAGCTGCAACTTATCTAAATAAACATTTTATCCTGATAAACTGCTGATCAACAGATGATCCATATAAGTTGGCTTGCTGTTTGGGTAGTTGTTTTGCAGCTGTTTGTGGAAAAATGATAATTGTGCCCCTGTTAGGTAATGTTGTTTGTAACAAAAATGAATTGACAATATACTTGATACTGCAGAAGTAGAAAACTAATATTGAAAAATACAGAAAAAAGATGAAACAATCCTCACTTATCAATTAGTATCAAGATTGACAAAAAAAAATAAAAATATTATTAAAATTACAAATAAAATTATGATAATATTAATTTTATACTCGAGACGGAGTATGTCACGATATACACTGTCATCCAGGGATACTATCGAACCTCGATCACTATTTACAGTCGAGTTTGGCGAACTGTACGCCCACCAGAAGAATGCACAACTCTTCGATACGCTTCGCAGGCAACTGTAGAACCGTCTCCAGTAACTGTGCACCCAACGTGACGTCAGTACTAAAGTCTGTAGTCCACAGTGACAAAACACAAGTTGGGATGACTCTGAAATCCTGAAGCTCATGTTTCTTGAAAGATATAGGAGAGAAAACATTAGGCATCTTAAAAAATTAAACTAAAGAAAAAATGTGCAAGAAAATTTTAATTATGGAAAATAGTCTCAAATAAAAAAAAGCAAAAAATTGGAAAAAAATATAGGTGAGGTCTCAGTGAATTAACCACACAAACCAATGAGTCTATCGCTACATGAAGACAGTTGACATTGTAAAAAAAATGTTCTTAGTTGCCTTTTAACTCACGTGAAACCAACGTCCTGTGCCACATGTGCATATCACAAAAAAAGGTCATCCAGTAGGTCCTCATAAACTGATGCACCGAACAAGAGAGATGATCTGGGTTGCCTTCATTAGGATTTCACATGTACCAACAAACAACATCCATCGACACACCATCCAGAAGAACATAAAAGGTTAGAAGTCTCATCATGAAAGTCTCATTATAAATGAACATAATGAGATTGTACAAATGACATTAAATAAACAAAGTTTACAAACTAAACAATAGATGTTCAATCAACACTGAACAATCTCGTTCGTTATTTGCTCTCTCAATGCAAACCTCATCAAAATGCACCCCCCAACAAACGCCAGAAACCTCCCGAAACCATGCATCAAACTTCATCAAAATGCACCCCCAACAAACACCACAAACCCTCCCAAAATAATCTAGCAAAGCTCATGAAAATGCACCCCCAACAAACACCACAAACACTCCCAAAACCATCCACCAAACCTCATCAGAATGCACCCACCCCTAAAACCACATCATTAGTGCAGCCATTGTTTTTTTATTTGTATCATAATCCATTTCATTTTCACCCAAGCGTCCCCAGTCAACTTGAAAGATGGATAAGTAAAATGAATTTATCTTAAACCAACGTAAATAAAATGCCAGAAGTAGTTTATGACAAGGGGAATGAATCTTTTCAACCAAAAAATGATGATAAGAAAGATAATGATATCCACCTTCAATAGACTTTCATTGCATAATTGGCCTGATCTAACTAATCTTAACTCCCAAAACCCATCCAACGAACCTCATCCAAATGCACACCCATAAGTAACAATTTATCATGGCTGAATCCATCTAGCAGCCGGAAAGAATGCTCAAGTAACAAATATTGAATGCCCCAAACAGACAATAAGGGATGAGACCATAACAAAAAGGCTCCAACATTTTCGTTTTGCATCCATTAAAAACCAGAGAAACCATAGATACAACAGAAACCATAAGAAACCAGAACAATTTGCGGCTCGAAAAATTCAAATGTAAAAGTCACATTTTATGTATTGCAAATCCTAAACAAGATTCATGTGCAATCACCAAATCTGTAAGAGCGTAAACAAAATTTGCAAGGCAGAGAGCGTAATATTGCACAATACCAACCATTCCATCGGTGGTTAGGAAATGTACTTATAGAGTAGCAAAGGTTGGGGGTCTAACAACACAGTAAGGGGAGAACATTGAGAAGCGCGAGAGAGGGAGAGAAGCGCGCGAAAGATAGTGCGTCGAGAGAGACGGGCGAGTGGGAGCGGAAGAGGGAGTTAGGGCATGCGATACGTGAAGAGGGCAACGGGGTCTTTGGTTCAAATGAAATGGGTTTGACACGCGGTCTATGTTTAACGTAAAAATAAAAACACAATTTTCGCAGACGCGGCCAAAACACAATTTTTAGATGAGCGGCGGCGTTTTCAAAACGCCGCTGCAGCTTATCCGCTGCGTTTGCCAAACGCAGCATAAATCTATGTTTCTTGTTGATCTAAGACTGATATTCTGAACAAATAGCAAGGATTACCAATTTTGTTAGATCACAATATTTCAGTATAAGTTAGAGAGATGTGGTGATGTTGCTCGTTGCCTCCAATGGCAAGATCTAGTGTTTGGATCCTGAAAACAAAAATGTGGAGCTTTTATCAAAATTTTCAAATCTTGCTCAATGGATAACAAATGAAGTTGATTTTGGATATGTTTAGGGGATTTTGATTGACATTAAATTCTAGGAAGATTTACATACATACCACTTAAATCCCTATGTATTTACATTTCCCTAGCACCTGAGCCACAATTTTTACATATATGCCACCTTGCCTTTGCATTAAAAGATGTATTTCACTTTTAAAAGTTAAAATAGTGGTATTTTTTTGTGATATGATAGATCGGTGTGGCATGAATGTAAAAAGTGAAGTTTAGGTTTTAGAAATGTAAATACATAAGAATTGGGTGATATGTATGTAAATGCCCCTAAATTCCATTGGATGCTGATGCAAGCCTTCTATTGATATGAGATTCAGGTAAATTATTGTATCTATGCAAAGGCATCAATGTTCTTTTCTATTGAGTTTTTTACGGGTGAACTTCATGAAATCTTATTCTTGGATGTTCTACCTTACAAAATGCTCTTTAATTTTAGTCTTAGCATTGAAATTGAAATCATATCAGACTTTTTTATTTTTCTTTGAGTTAGCTTATGTTAGTTTAACAACCACAGAAACTTTTGGAATTATTTGCATTTAAAAAAATCTTTTTGGCTGCTCATGAATGGCTCATAATATTTTTTATCTCTGATATTTAATATGCGAACTCAAGTTTGCAATTGTTATTATTTTCAGCTTTTAGATAAAGTTCTTAAAAACATTCCATCGCGGGAGCCATAGTTTTTGAACCCAATAATCACCATATGGAATTGGCGCTCAAATTATTCTATCTACGGCATTATGTGCCGCCACATTAAACTATTCAGAATTTCATGTTTCTTTGCATCTTTTATTTCTCCTATATGCTTATTTTGTTATTTGATTTTGAAATTTTCTTTCTCTGTTTATAAAATAATGTCATATTTAAGTTTTACTTTTTTGAATACAAAATGAAAATGCTTGCCCACTGATTGGCAATAGGATATTTAGTTTTATTAGGGAGAGAGAGAGGGGAAATATGTAATAAGAAAATAAGAAATGAAATAATACTATTATGTATGCTTTTTCTATGAACCTTTGGCATCTCAAGCTTAAGTTGCCATTGCATGATATTGATGCGGATCGGACCGGCCTGCTGTGGCCTTTTGTTTGTTGCTGAATTTTTTGTCTGGGATTACTTCTTGCTTTTTGTGTAGAGTTTGCATGGTCTTTAGGATGCATTTTTTTTATTATTTTCCCAGTAATTTTTGGGCATATTTTAATAGTGTTTTTGTTTTATAGAAGCGGCATTCTATTTTGGCTCAAAATAAATTTCTATTCATTTTTTTTTTGCTAGAAATTCTTTCTATTTTGCTTCTTGACCAAGTTGGAGATTGAAAAATTTATAAGATAGTTTATCTCCCAATACAAGGGAGAGGCTTGATTTGGTTTCTTCTTTTTCATCCACTTTATTTCTTTCTATAAATTATGGTATCACATTCGTTATTGATTTTATTCAAGTTAAATGCCTTATGGTACTTACGAGAGCATGATTTTGTTAAAAACTAAGAGGTTGGCTCTCGAAGTTTTATATGCTTATTGCTTGATTTTCTGCATCTCATTTTATATTTAAATTACAAACCTAGATCCGAAAATATCTTGTGTTAGAGTTGATACGAGGGCTTAATGTTACATCACAATATCTTATAGCTGTAAAATATAATATCTTGATCAATTAACAAAAAAATAAAAGGCTTCGTTTAGTTAAAAGCAGTTTAAATAATCCAAACAATATCAGCATGATTATTATGAGATTCATAATTATATTGCTACATTTGTTGGAAGTTATAAGGTATTTTAAGATTGGATAGATCATTTAGATTTATTTTTTTAAAATATAATGTTTAATTCTCAAAGTATTGAATTGCTAAAACAAAACTAATGGAACATATTCAATTGTTATGTCAAAGTTTTATTACTTATTATACAAAATATTCATGGTCTTATTTGAAATATGAAATTAAATAATATTATTGCCATTCAATGATTATATATATATATATATATATATAATATATCGGTTGTATACTTGTATGCATAATTTTAAAAGGTTAATCAATGTTCATATCTTGTCTTTGGATATTTTCTTGATTAAATGTCTTAGTTCTCAAAATGTCCTATTAATTATATTGTTATCAATGTTTATTTTATTGATGTATTACTGGTCTTTGAATAAACATAATTAGTCCGCAAAATGCCCAACTGACCATGAACTGATTGCAACGAGTGAAACAAAGTCAATAAATTTGGCATGATTCAAGCATTTTTCAGGTCATTTTTATCTATGGCCGAGCTTTTTAATCTTCAAGTTGAATCATTTTTATAAGATTTTATCTTGTTTTGTATAAGAATATGTTCAGATTTAAAAGTTTGTTAAGAGTGGGTAGGATTGAATGTGTTTTGAAAATGTAACCTTCTTCTTGTAGCCATATGTCTATAAATAGTAACCAATGATGTAATTAATTTTTTGTTGATAGTGATTATTTTTGTAGCCAATTGAAGACATAACTTCTTATGGTGGAACTTTCAAATCTCATGGATTGCCTATAGATTCTTCAATAGAAGGGATTTGTATTATAACCATTGTTTCCCTTGATTCCATCATTTCAATTCTGCTTGCCTGCTTTGATGGTGAAAGTATCATTTTAGATGAAGTAACACCATGCTTTCTAGTTTGATTGAAAGCGGGGTCTCATTTAGATGACGAGTAAAGTGCCAAAATGGTCCTTTGACTATTTACATGGGTCCAATTTAGTCCCATAGTCTATAAAAGTGTCAAATTAGACCCTATTCCGTTTAAATTGGGGTTGAAATAGTCTTCCATGGGAACTATTTCAGGATATATTAAAAGTTTCTGTGGATGAAATTGACACTTTAATAGAGTCTTCGACTTGAATGACCCACCACAAAGAGTTAGATCCAACACTTGCTCTCTTTAGATGATATGTGGATGAGCAAAGAGGAATTGCACTAGTTAGACCTTGAATACCTTGGCGACTACATGGATCTAAACACTCCTTCAGAAGATAGTTCTTTGCATCTCAGGGGAGCTGATGTGGTATAAACCTTTAAACAAGTTGAATGGGTTTACAAAAGCCTAAATGGTTATAGGTCAATTATGAATAGACAAATTAAACAATAATGGATATAAATCAAGCACTTTTTCTGGTCTTTTTCAATTTATAGATGAATTTTTTCTTCTTTTTTTTTGTTAATTTGGATTAGTTGGTTGGGATTTTTTCTTTTGGAGAGAATGTGTTTAAATTTGAGCATTTGAGAGGATTTGATAGGATTGAATTTTCTTTTAAAATTTGTTCTTTCTTTGTTGAAAATTTAAACTCTATTTTTAATAAGGACTTATGCTATGTAATTAATTATTTTTTGACGATCATTGAAATTTGATTTTTTTTCTAAGGTCAATTTGGTGCTCCCAATATAAAAATATTGTATGTGGATTGCTCCGAGTTTGTTCCTGAACTTATTTTAATTTACTCCTATCATTCATTAATGTCTGAAGCAAGAAGTTAACGTTGAGTTAAGCTAGAATGCACCATATTACAGCAAATGTTTCTTTATTTAGAGCTTTAGAGTTTGAGAAAAATTACAATTATCATACAACGTACGATTGACTAATATTTCTGATGAAAAATATCTTTAAAAGCCCATTTAAAGTGTAATTCAGCAGAAATGAAATTTACAAATAAAATATGATTCTATAACTGATTTCATTGAATTTTAATATGTCAGTTGAATTATCTAATAACTTATCTCCTGATAAATTTTTCATCAAAGTTATGTAGTATTTATGAATCATGCTAATATTGATTTTATATTTGGTACTGGGTTCCTTGACTAACACATTTATAAATCTAGTTTTTTTTTTAAAATAAAATTGTGTTAATAATATTTGTAAACCTTTTAAAGATATTTTTTTCAAAATAAAAGGTGAAAAATAAATTTCATTTATCTGGTTGTATTCAAAGATACATAATTCTGCATTATTAATTTTTAAATTATTTGAATTATTTTTCTTGAAAGATTTCCCACCATATGTTAAATCTTATCGTAGTTATATCTTTTGTTAGTTATTATAAGAAAATGGTATTCTTCATTTGCTCCTCTTGGCTTTAGCTATTGTACATATATAATAGCTCATGAGTATCTTGAAATCATCATTATGTCCATTACATCATTCATTAGTCATTGATATGATATGTTTGAAAATATTTGCAAGAAACTTATTGTTTTTAACCATGATAATTAAAAGTCTATTGCAGATTTGAACCTAAGATACGTTATTTGAATAAATTGACAGAGTAATGTTTTTTCTATATTTTGCTAGTTTCCCTATAAGAGCCTTCAACAAATTAGTAGAAAAATGGGATCATATAAAATCATACAATGAATTGAGACATCTTCTTACAAGTCATAAATCGTTAAAAATTTTAATATTATTCTAATTCTAATGTTTACGATGTGAATCAAATGGTGAACTGCCATTTTGGATTCTTTTCTTCCTCATTAATTTTCATATCTAGTATATCACACGCATAGTGCTGAAACAATCATATTGGCCTTTTTACTAGAGCTGTTATTTAGAGATGTCATTTCGTTTATTGTCGATGTTGGGTGTGGACTGGAGAAATAGGCCTACATGTGATAATTCATGAACATTTGCACAAGGTTTTAAAGAGTTACAACAAAAATATATTTGAAGGGTATCAACTCAACTTTTTGCTATGAGTAAATTTTTTCGTGACTTGGCTTAACTGTGGCGGAATGGGTTTGTCTTCTTAGTTTTTGTCACTTTTGATTCTTCTTGCCTTTTGCTTTTTAATATAAATTGAGGTCTTTGGCATATAGAAAGGGCATTATATTTTAGTTCAAAATAAAGTTAAACCATGCATAAACTTTTGGTTTGATGTACTTTTCCTTTTTGAAAATTTATTTGTGATCTCTCTAGAATTTTTTTTTTATTGATTTGCACCCATGTTTGCATTTACATACATAGCACTCAATTCTTATGGATTTACGCATCTCACACCAAAACTTTCATATTTTCATGCATAGCACTCTCTTCCTTCACATCGCATCAAAAATAGCACCAATTACTACATTTTAATAGTCAAATTCAACTTTACATGTATAGGTAAAATATCATGCGTGTAAATATGAAAGTTTAGGTTGATATACATAGATCCATAGGAATTGCATGCTACATATGTAAATATACAAGTGTAAATTTCAACTACTGGCAAGCTTTTCTCTATGGCTCCCTATTTCTAAATGTTGTTTCTAGTAGAATCTATTTGGGGTTGTCTGGTTATGGATTTATGTTGGATTTAACTCAAATCTTATCAGACAGAAAAATGACAATTTTTAAATTCTGGATTTAGTAAATCCCGGGCAGGATTTAGCAAATCCAGTTTTTATTAATTCTGTTGCCAAACATCCCCTTAGGCTATCATTTGCACTGAATTTTGTCATACTTTTATTTTCATCATTACGTTATGAATAATTAGTAAAATTAAGAGTTGAGACTTAACAATGTGTATTTTGCGTTTTCATGATTTCGTACATTTTACTATCAGTATGCATTAGAAATTCTGGACTCAAAAAGTCTTAAATAAAATCCATTTTGCTGCTATTTCTTTTATCGCAGGAAGAGGCTCTTCACTATGATCAACAGTCTCCCAACCATCTATGAGGTTGTGACTGGAGCAGTCAAAAAACAGTCCAAAGAGAAAACCCCCAATAGCAGCAGCAAGAGCAACAAATCAAGCTCAAAGGTATACTTTAATTATGCGGCATTTACATAGACATCACACAGTTCTTCTGTTTTTATATAGCCCGCACCTAAACTTTCATGTTTACACATAACACTCAAATCCATGATATCACATCAAAAATAGCACTATTATCACTTTTTAAAAATCGTACATATTTTCTTGGAAGGTTTAAAACTTCAAAATGCTTTGTATGTAAATATCGAAGTTTAGGTTTGAGTTACATATGCCCTGAGAACTTACATGCATCTCCGTTCACAATTCTACTATACTTGTTTTTAGTATGTAAATGCATTTGTATCACTTTTTAAAAATCGTACATATTTTCTTAGAATTGTGTGCTACATATGCCCTGAGAACTTACATACATCTCCGTTCACAATTCTACTATACTTGTTTTTAGTCTCAGCTCCAAACAGAGCTCTCAAGAGCTCCCCCTCCAAAAGATTTTGATGAAAGCGGAGAAGACGAAGAAGACGAAGATGATGATGAACGAGGAAACACTCTTTGCGGCGCTTGTGGCGATAATTATGCGAGTGATGAGTTCTGGATTTGCTGTGATGTTTGCGAGCGATGGTTTCACGGCAAGTGTGTCAAGATCACCCCTGCAAGGGCTGAGCACATTAAGCAGTATAAATGCCCATCCTGTAGCAACAAGAGGGCCAGGGCTTGACAGAAAAAAAACTGGGTATGTTGGTGATCAAAATCAGAATTACAACAGAAAGAAGGAAACAATTTTTATTGCAAAACCTCCAGTAGATTAGATTTATTTTGTTAATTTGGTACCAGAATTTAGACTTTATTTCATCTCTTAGCTCCTTAGGACCCAGATTTTGGGCTTTTGGTTTGTTTCCAGACTGTCAGACCTGTTTTGTTTTTATTATTGTCTGTCTTTATTTGATTACAATTTTATATTATCATGGGTATTCTTCAGTCCATATGTGCGTGTGTGTCTATATATATATATATATATATAAGTTTGAAAAAAAATGGCATCAATGCTGGCACTCAATCGCAGGTCGAGACGAAGAAATCGAGCTCCCCAACGTCTAAGCCTCAAGCCAAGAATAGTGTGTTTACTGAATGGCATTATTTGTCTAAAAATTCATATGCATACCCTACAAATCTTATATACATCATTGATAGTTATGAACTTTTTTTAGTGTCAGTCACATCAGAATATATGCATCAGAAAGCATGTTTTAGTTTAAAAAAAATTCATGCTAATGATATCTTTTATGTGATGTTAAAGATATGATGTTGTGTAACTAAATATTAAAATTTTCAATGTTTGATATCTAAATAAATAAAAATTGTGTTATATATTTAATCCCAAGTTGAGTGAATGTTTTGACTTAAATTAGGCCTATCTCATTAGTTTCATTAGAACTAAATTTTTTATTTTATCTTTTATACAGATTTTCCTTCATTCCTACAATTAGACCATCCCAAATCATTCATGTCACATAAAAGCTATCATTATTTTAACCTTTAAAATGTGAATCACACGTTTTCATGCATTGATAAGGTGGTGCTTATGTTATATGAGAATTGAAATTTAGGTGTTAGACATGTAAGTACATAAAATTGAGTAGTATGATGTAAATCTTCCTACTAAATATTCTGAAGGAAAGGAAAAGGAAAAAAAAATCTTCCACTTGAGGTTGTGAATAATGTGGCATAGGTATTGGAATGGTGCACTCACTCAACAATATGGGAAACAGCTGCTTGCAATAATCCTCTCCACTAACATTTTGAATTTAAAGTACATAATGTCATACTTTATTAAATTTATTTCATTTTAAGCATGTGTGCTCTTATCCGAAGATTCTCCATTAACTAACATTATTTAATGGCTATCTTTTATCTTGTTTAGGTCATTTTACATTCATACCATGCAATTATTATGTATATACAGTTTTAAGTGACTACTACCTATATATTACGTGAATACCAACCAATTAAATGCTTAATATCAGATAAAAAAATGGCATTTTTATTAATTTTTTGAAAAGTGCAATATATTTTTTGATGCTTAAGTTTATCTTGTGAAATTGTTGTAAATGTAAGTATTAAATTTTACGTTTTTGATATGTAAATATTTAAGAATAGTGTGGAATGTTTATTTGATAAATTAAACAAGAATTATGTTTTATTTGATTGTGTTTGCCTTATGTTTATATTTATTAGTAGACAAATGAAGCTCTAAGATGGGATTGAGTCAATGATAAAGATGATGTTTTGGAACTCTTAGCAAGCTCCTCAACGTTGATTTAATTTTTTATCTTCTACAATAGCTCAACAATCAAGCTAGAAAGATACGTATTGGTTTTGAATTAAAATTTTTAATCGCATTTTAAACTTTATAATAATAGTTTCAGATATAATCCTTTTTCTTATGTTTATTAAATCATAAATATATAAACACACATTTACTATTTTTTATAAGAAAAATAATTTTATTAACACCAATGTTAGCCATAAATTTTTTCTTAATAGGATAATGTTATTATGTTGAGCTCGAGTGTATTAATCAATTGAGAACTTAATTTCTAGTATATATATATATACTTTACCCAGCACCTCAACACCAAGAAGATAGCATTGACGTGCCCAATATAGTTTCAGAACTCGAAATCAAGACACTCCAGTGCTCGAAGGGATGCAATACAACACCCATATATAATGCCACCGCACCTGTTGGAGTATTGCAGCGCGATTATCATGGCCACTCGACGTCAAGAACCAAATTCAGACAGCTTTCACTTGAAATCTCAGCTTGAATTTTGTTTTTTATCTTGTGCGAAAAAAAAAAAGTATCTTGAAGTGTTCGTAAGAAAGGAGAGGCCTCATCGTGATGAAATTCGTACAACTCTCCTCATTTTATTCATTGTGAATTTCTTGATGTAGTGTGACTCTGTGGTTTTTTTTTTCTCCGGATTTTTTCCCACGTTAAGTCTTATATTGTATTTTTTATTATTTTCTCATTTTATGTACTTTTTTTCATAATTTTTAATACAGTTCTCTCAAATACGTTTTCACAATTTGGTCACTTCTCTCACCGCACACATAAATGTTAAAAGAAGCTATACTTCTCCATTGAACAATAAATTAAATCTGAATTAAATTTAAAGAAAATTAAATTAACCAAAATTTGGGTTGGAATCAAACTCTCCTCGCTCAAACTCTCAAGGCTTCTTCTTAATGCTAGCGTTGACTTGCAATGGTTTTTTCCAGCATGATATTTAAGAATATGTATTATTACAAAAAGTATAATGCTTAACCCAAATTTAAAAAGAAATACTTTTCCAACAATAATTTTAAGAAAAAAATTAATTTTGCACCCTCCTATATGCATACACACATCTAAACCCTGTTCTTCTTCATTTCCCAGCTCTGCAACTATTAAAAGGCACATCTTTCAGCTCCTAAACTCAATTCTCCACATCAAAAATCTCAACTTTATTTTACATCTTCTTCACCAAACGCACCAGAAATGATTTCTTATTTCATCGCAGCTCTCTTTCTCATAATTCCGCTCATAAGTTCTGCTACCAACGGCCTCTCCATAGATCACTACATGTTCAGCTGTCCTTTCGCTGAATCCATGGTGAAAAACGCAGTCTTTCAAGCTCTAAATAACGATCCAACCTTAGCTGCCGCTCTTCTAAGAATGCATTTTCATGACTGTTTCATTCAAGTCTGTTCTTCTTCTTTTTCTTCTTCCTCTGAGAATTTTTATAAGAATCTGCTAAAAGTTGTTTCTTTTTTTTATTTTTCTGTGAAGGGCTGTGATGGATCAGTTCTGATTGACTCCACAGAAGACAACACTGCTGAGAAGGATTCCCCTGCTAATTTGAGCCTGAGAGGCTTCGAGGTGATCGACGATGCGAAGAAATTGCTTGAAGATTCGTGCCCAGGGATAGTCTCTTGTGCAGACATACTAGCCATGGCAGCAAGAGATTCAGTATTTTTTGTAAGATTTCTTATTATAAATTACAATGAAAAATTATATTTTTAGTATAAATTTACTCGCTTTGGGTTTAAGGCTGGGGGAGCAGTATATGATATACCTAAAGGGAGGAAGGATGGAAGAAGATCTAGAATTGAAGATACTATAAACTTGCCACAGCCAAGCTTCAACGCTTCTTCTCTCATTAGAGTGTTTGGCCAACATGGTTTCAGTGCGCAGGAGATGGTGGCTTTATCTGGTGACCATTAATCATTTTAATTTCCTTCATATTTTGTTCAGTTTACATTCTTAAGATGTTAGGGTTTATTGGTGGAACTAGAGAGAGGCTGCTGGTGCCTCGGTGTCTCTTTGAGTATTGTCGTCTCTCTCATATAATTGTCATCGTGTTAGTCTGAAAGATTTTAGGGGTATTAACGTACATATTGCATAATTCTTATGCATTTACATATCTCATGCCTAAACTTTTATTTTAACACACATAACACTAAAAAGAAGTATTATTATCATTTTTTGAGTGTGAAAAACTCATTTTCATGTATAGACTTAAAACACCAAAACGCTCCTTGTGTAAATATGAAAGTTTAAGTATGAGATATGTAAATACATAAGCCCCAAAGCGTTATTTTCATCATTGTACTTTGTCTTATCCTTCATGCACCAACCTCTATTTTATAATCATGCATGTGTTAATTGAATGCAATAACAATTAATAACAACATATATATTTATAGTCCATGCTCAATTGTATAATTTCATGAAGAGTTTCAAACATTTAGTAACTCTATGTGTTGCTTTTTTACCAATCAAATTCATTTGTTTAGTAACATTGTTGAAGATAGAAATTGTATGCTTGTTTTGAGTGATCAAACTTGGGGTCTATTTGAGACAATTTTCATGTTGCTTCGAGTTTTAGACTGCCACCATAGCTCTGTTTAGGGAATTTTTTTACTGTTGAATGTTTAGAAATAAGAATACAACAATATTTTAAAATTAACCACATAAATTTCAATAATTGCAATCGCTTAAGTGAATTTTTTGTCAGTATAGATTGTTATGGTGGGTATAATTAGAAATCTAAGGCTATTTTTGTCGGTATCAATTAGGAAGATTTACATGCATGCCACCCAATTCCTATATATTTATATATCTAATATCTATATTTCATGCCAAAAAGTTAAAATAATTATATTTTTGACGTCGTAATAAATATAAAAAATAAATATGCAAATATATACGGATTGGGTAGTATGCTTGTAAATGCCCCTAAAAATCATGTTACATAAAAAGTATCACTATTTTAGCGTTTCAGATGTAGGTAAGGTGGCATACATATATTTAAAACTTGAAATTTTGTGGTTAGATATGTAAATAAATTTATCTCTCATTATAGTTTATATATATAGGTGGTCACACACTTGGGATTGCAAGGTGCTCGTCCTTCAAAAACCGGCTCAGCAAATTCGATCCCACCCACGAAGTAGACCCGAGTTTGGAACCCAACTTCGCCAAATCCCTATCACTGAGGTGTCTAGCAGGTGACAACGTACCGGTGCCCTTCGATGACACTCCTAACATTTTTGACAACGATTACTTCGCCAGCGTTCAGAGAGGAACCGGGCTTCTATTCTCAGACCAGGCCCTGTTTAGCAGCCCAAGAACTCGAGACCTGGTCAGCTTATACGGGTCGAACCGGGCTCTATTCTTGTTCGACTTTCAGCGGGCCATCATCAAAATGGGCGTGCTTGAGGTGAAAGAAGAGGGTGAGGGAGAGGTTAGGCTGAATTGCCGCCGGATTAATTAATTGATTCCCATCACTTAATCAGAGTGTTTTTATTAATCCTATGCTATAGTTACGGTTTAACAAGTTTTATATAGATAATGAAGAGGTTTTAAGTGATACGCATGCATGTTTTATTTTAACCATGGTTTCATTACACTATTTTTTATTGAGTTAATGATTGCTATAATTCACTAATGTTCTAAACATTCTATTTATTTAACTAGAGTTAATGATATCAAATTTGTCTGCTAATCAGGCCCAAGGGCTTGAGTATGGTAAGGAGAGAAAAATACAAACTAATGAGAGAGATATATTTTAGTATGTAATTATCAAAACCACTCATACATGTAATATCCCTCTATTTATAGGAGCTTAGAAATAGTATGAAATGATAATTAGTCTTCTGTCCCTCTTTGACCGAACGACCCCGATTAATCGACTTTACCACATTAGGTCAAAGTCGAAGAACCTCAAGCGGGACACCATCTAACCGACCTCTATCTCAAGTCAGTTGTTATTGGGGTTGGCAGACCTTTGATTAACTATTAAATGTATCTCTAATTCATCGACTATTATCGTCCGATCAAAGACGCATTAGATGAATTTTAGAAAAACGTTGTTTTTAATGTTACCGACTGTTATAAAATCGTAGATAAAACTATTGTTGGTAATTCCAAAGTTGACTGATATTCCGACGGTTTAAATTTATCGACGATTATCCAACAATTTATTGTCGTCATTTTTTTTTATAGAAAATTCGAGTTATTAGTAATCGTCGGTTCGTATAAGCGCTGGTTTGTCCATGAGTAATAGCAACGACATACATGTCAGAAAAGCGTCACATTTGTTGGTTTTTTGAAGTAAGTAAAACCATAGTTTAAGCGTTGTTTTCATAATCTATGAGTTAACTGTTGAAAAAGTGTAATACCTGTTGGTTTTTAACGCAGGTAAAACTGTCGGTTAAGCATCGTTTTTTATAACCGACGGATTAACTGTAGAAAAAGTATTGCACCCGTCGTTTTTGTATGACACACCTTATGTCGCTGTTTATGTGCGTCAATTAAAATGTTCATTGATTAGTCGTCGATTTTGCGTGAACAATGCAAAACCAACGATAAGATGTCGGAAACCTGTAACGTAAAGAAAAAAACAATTTTTTTCTTATGTATTTTTATTGCCGAACCAACTATCACAACATTTAATTTAAAATTTCAAACATTTAACGAAATAACATAGTTGTCAAACAGTAATTTAATCAATCTAATAATGAAATAAATAAAATAAATTTACTCTACGATATACACATTATTGTTCATAGAAAAAATATGTCCAAATGTACATAAATATAAAACAAAAAAGAGAAAAGCCCCTCCTAATCACCCTCCTCTAGCTTGTCAATCTCATTCGCATTGTCCTCCGCCGCTTCCTCTTCCTCCAAAGTTGTCGTTGTCTTGCCACACTCCCTCATCCTCTACTGGAAGAAATCCAACTCAACTTTCACCTTGACCTCCATGTTGGCCTCTAGCTCCGATCTCATCTCAAAGAAACGGGCCTCCATTTCAACAGAGAATGCTGCAATGCGTCTAGAGATTTTCTCATTCGGTGGAGGTAGAGCTTAAAGCCGATCCCTAAAATAATTAGGGTAGTTAACGATTTGAGCTCTGGTCGGCTCGAAATCCGCTTGAAAAAAATTCGATCCAAAATTTTAGCTCGTAGCCCGGCTCGTTTATTTTGATACGAGCTAAAATTCAAATAATTTTTTTGAGCAATTAACGACCTCGAGCTAAATTTAGTCCTATGTTTTTAATGATCCGAATTCGAGCTGAGATGGATCGACTCAAAATCGGTTTTGAAAAAAAATTTGATCCAAAATTATAGCTCGCAGCTCAGCTCGTTTATTTTGATCGGATCTCAATTCGAGCCAAAATTTGAAACATTCTTCAAGCGATTAACAATGTTCGAGCTAATCTTTTAGCCCTAGATCTAATCCAACTATAATAGGATATTATTTGGCAGACATCATAGTTGTTAAACCCTAAATAATAAATGCATTATTCAAAACAAATGAAAATAAAAAGTAAAATGGATTTATGTTATTTCGGGATGCGTGATTCCATTTTAATATAAATTAGAAGAGAGCTGATTGGCACATTTCATGCATTTATTTTCTTTTCTAATATATGCCTTATGTTATTTCGGGATGCGTGATTCCATTTTAATTTTTTTTTCATTTTATTTACAACCACTATCCATGGAATAGAACATAGCAATTACAGAAAAAAAAAAAAAAAACTTTAATATTATTTCATGGAAAAGGGATCGTCAGCCAGCTCAGAAGAAGAAAAAAACAAAAGCAAATATAAACGATTCCTTGCAGTACGTATCAAAAGAAGAAATTTGCAAAATGTCTCGCCGCCCGCAAACTGTTACAGGTCGGCCTGATTCCACAGGGGTTGTGGTCACCAAATTTTAAATTCGGCAAATTTTTTAATATTTATAATTTAAAAATACAACATTTAAACTGTATTTTCGCTCTTATATAACCCATCACATGAATAAATAGTTTAATTCCCACGTATTTGCATGTCTAAATTAAACTTCATTTCTTATACAAATATAATGACAATCCAAAATATTTCGGTGTTGACCTTGAGGATATCCAATGAGCGAGAAGAAAAGAAGCACGATAGAGTCTCCCACCCACATAGCAAGAGAGCCACTTATCCAATCATATGTAATAGTCCAAGCCAAAGCTTAAGGCTCACCAAACCAAGAGAGAAATAAAAGGACGACCAATTGATCTAAATACGAACCAATTAAAACATATAAGCATATGAGCTAAACTAATATGAAAAAGATGATCGAAGGCAAAGAAAACTACCATCCGATAGATCTGACCCGAGAAAAGACTCAGTTCCTCAATATCATCAGCATTCTGATAGACGCTCTCAAAGCTTCTCATTAGAGACCAAAAATTGACAATGCAACGGCTTTATAGTCATTACCATGTTTTTTTTTTTTTATTGGAGAATGAGCTACCTATCGGATTATAGTGATAAACCTTATACCCGTTAGACCAATCTCGCTCCACGGAAAGAAGCTTATCGTCTAGAGATCGAGGGCTGACAGTCGGCCAGATCAAGCAATTGAAAAAACATAATCGATTGAATTAATTTTACAGACCTGAAGTCAATCAAGCTCATACGATTGACAAGGCCAACTCAGCTCCGCTGCATGAACAAATCTTACTAAATTGAGGCCAAACAAGCCCAGCCGGCCGAGCCAACGAGCAACATAATGTAATTTACATATAATATCATCTAAATCACCTATTAAAACATGATAGAAATTTAATATCATTATATTGTGACATCTCTCATACAATTAACAAGATAATTTTATGAGAAAAGAGTTGAGAAAGTTTTATGAGCGTTTTTCATTGTTCACCATGTCTTTGGGGACAAATGCCTGAAGATTCCATTAATACAAATTGATTAAACAAAATTTAAATAAATTTACGGGCGATGCCTTTTCATGCTGCCATGGCAGCCCTTTGTACAACTGTCTCTCTCGAAAAAGTCCAAAATACGTAACAGAAAAAAAAAAAGATAAATGCTAATATGGCCAAGTGGGGAGGATACAAGCTGTACACAGCAAGAGAAGTCCATTTATCATAATTACAAACAAATTAATTTTTTTTAATCATCTATTCAAGTTTTGAATGTAAAATGGTATTTTTTAATGTGTTAATAATAATATTCAGCTTAGTTAATCATCCCCATATTCGCCATAAAATTAGCATTTCTTCAAACAAAAATAAATAAATAAATAAAATAAAGAAAAAAAGAATAAAAAAACACTTGCGCAAGGGAAGGACGATAACGATAAGCCCGAAACGCACGCGAAAGTGACAGAGAGAAAGAGGAAGGTAGAAGAAAGAAAGAAGTGGATTAATGGAGGCATGAATCACCTGCTTCTCATCTTCTTCTTCCGTATAACGAGCTCTGTATCAAGGCCGAACCCATCGACCTTCCGCACACGAGCGAGATCGGAATCTTTAAACAGAGCCGTGACCCCCTCCACACCAAAAAGATCATTAGCGGAATAGCGATCGCCGCGGCGGCCGAGGGCGACATGGAGGACGCAGATGCCTCCCGGGCGAAGCGTGCGTTCGATCTCTCCAACGAAGCGCTGCGGATAAAGCGCGTGATCGAACACATTGGAGAACTCGAAATCGAAGGAAGAATCGGGGAATGGCTGGGAATGGAAGTCGCCCTGGAGAACCAACGGCGGCGATGGTACCAGGTCTATTCCGATCGAGTCGACGACGCCCACAGTTTGTAACGCGGCGACTTCCTGGCCCATACGGGCGCCCACGCAGAGGGCACGGGAGGTGTTTGATAGAAAGCCTGATTGGCGGAGATTGAGAAAGAAGCGGGAGAAGACGGAGATTTTGCGGTTCCAGTCTCGGGTGGCCCAGAGGCGGCGGAGTCGAGGGTTTAGGGTTTTGTTGAGCTGGAGTTTGAGGTAGTCGTCGTAGGAGCGGAAGCCGGGGCGGATCTTGAGGAGGGAGGGGGTGGGTGTGGAAGAGAGGGGGAGTTGGAGGCGGAGGTTTGAGCGGGAAAATAGGAGGGGGAGGATGAAGAGGAGGGAGAGGGTGAGGAGGAAGAGGAAGGGTTTGAAGAGGGGCTTCGTCGTGCTCATCGCTTGGACTGGATGGGCGACGGAGGAGATTGGAACAAATATTGTTTAGGCCTGCGATATGCTTTCTCAATGGACCAGTTATATTCATACCACCCAATTTTTATGTATTTACACATTTAACATCTTATTATTATTATTATTTTAATATTTAAAAATCAGATTAATTTTTTTATACATAACATTTAGATGTTAGATATATAAATTACTCAATAAAATATTCTAACAGCACATTATTGGTTTTAACTTATCCCTTCATGCTCCCTTCATGCAAAAAAAAAAAAATTAACATGTAAATATAGGAAATATGAAGATAAAATAGTTAAATTATCTTTTTTTTCTTAAAGTGTACATTTAGCTTTTGTTGGAGAAAGATTTGAACGAAAAATTTAATACATTTCTTATTAAATAAAAAAGGTAAGGGGTATTATTGGAATTATGGGGATAAAAGCAGGAACTGTGCGAACAGAATATTTTCTTAAACAAAGGCGTTGGAGTTGGCAACAGATTGGCAAACTAAAAATATTATAGACATCTGGATATGATTAATTAATGAGACGGTACGCGTTGAACCATATGAAACCGAATCATATAATCGTATTATATTAAAAATCATATTGCTCCATAAAAATGGTCAAATTCTCGTGTTTTGCATTTCGGAGTTCAGACCCACTCTCTGTGTTTTTGCCTTTATATGCGGACCAAACCTACCGATCTGTTTGGGGCAGCTGTAGCTTATCCAATTTCTGCTGATAAGCAGCTTATCCTGATAATCTGCTGATGACCAGTTGATCCAGATAAACTGACTGGCTGTTTAGTTTGTGCATTTGAAAAACAGTTGATTCTGGATAAATGACTATTATGCCTATATTCTGGATAAGTTGTTTAGCTGTTTGTTTTGTGCATTTGTAAATAGCTTATCTGTAGTCTTTTTAAGTTAAATGAATAATCTGTCACGCATAATTTATAATTTTCTCAATAAAATTAAAGTTCAAATGTTAAGACATGAAAATACAAAAGAGTTGAGTTATATTTTTATAACTCATATATTTTCGATCACATAAAAAAAACACAGTTACATACACAAAAGTAAAATATAAAAGAGAAGAACAAAATTTTATGGCCGTCCTAGCCGCTACATACTTGGTAGGTTATAATATGGTGAAGCTAATATCAGCATGTATTGACCAACCTAATATACAACATACCTAAAGTTTAACACTTTATTTTAGAGATTAGATTTTGCAAACATATCCAGAATTAAGTTATATGCATATATATTTGATAAAATGAGATGCTACGTATATAAACACATCAATATTATATAACATAGGGAGTTTTCATAGGCATTTTCTCGCTATTTTTCTCTTTTTGTTTAAGAAAGATCGAATCATCCTTGCTCTTAACCTATGGCGTTTAAGAGTTTCTTGCACATGACCTCCTTGGTATAGTATGGAAAGAGTATAATAGCCTTGAATACAACAGAAGTTAATCAAAACAATCATACAACATGCCTTCTCATCAAGCAATAAAAACACCATGTCATCCAAAGGTATAACATCCAGGAAACATTAAATAAATAAGAATTTCAGTTGGGCTAAACTTGCTGCAATCTATTAATCCAAGAAAGCATAGTGAAAACTAAACCTAGAATTCTTTTAAAATGATGTCTCAAAGCATAAATGAAACCAAAATTTAATTCATAAAATTTTTTGATGAGTCTTCCCTTAAACATCTAAAGCCAATTAAACATAAAAGAGGTTTTTTTTTTAAGCAAATAGGGGCTACTCAGTTTCAAAGTAAAAGGGAATGTTCTTTTATGATTTGAAAAGAGGAATGTTAAAAAACCCACTTCGTTCATATTTTCTTTTTTTTTCACTAATACACTTCCACATTATCAATATTATTACAGACATTTTCTTCAGATCTAATAACGTCAATGTTGATGCAAACTTTGACATCCGTGCTTTTTTAAAAAATTACAACACTAGCTTTAGAAAGTAAAGGGAAAGGTTCCTGCATGATTCTTGCACAATATGCAATATTTCCACAGAAGCTTAATACAAATCATCCGACGCAAGGATTGGTTGCTAGAAGATAACGAAAAGTGAAAGGAAATGGGACATTGAAGCTTCAAACATGTTCCATATCAAAGACACGTGAACACCATTGTTACCCGCAGAGACATAGATCATCCATGCTTGACCGTTACCATTACCTGAGAAAAGCAGAGATCCCTGAAGCACACCAAGGAAAGGAACCAAAATCACCTGCATGTTTTTTTTTTTTTTTTTTTTTTTTAAAAAGAAAAAAAAAAGGTGTTACTCTTTCTCATCCGATTTCAAAGCAACCTCAAAATATTATCAATTCATCATCCAACACATTCACTCCAGCGCTATATAAGTCTTCACATCAGCTCCCAAGATCAATTGGAAGTTATTCCAGATTTACTATTCTCCGGGACAAGGTAACGCTATGCTCCACATCATAAGCTTGAGGGGAGTGTTAACCATACGACTCACGATTAATAGAATGAGTAAAGCTCCACTTCTTCCAGATAAACAATACACCTGCTCCAATCTACTCAAGGCTTGCTGTGATATGCTTACTGACAGCGATATGTTAGCGACGAAAAAAATCCGATCGAGAAGATCTTCAAAATCCAATCGAGAAGATCCAATAAAAAAAAATGCTAGGATCTCAGATTCAAAAACTTGTTACAATTTGTTTAGCGACAACGAAAAAGGAAAAATAAAATAAGAAGGGGGAAAGATCCGAACGAGAATGCCGAAGAAGAAGAAGGAATGCAGAAGAAGAAGAAGAAATGCCGACGAAGAAGGGAAAGAAGGGTTATATCTGTCACGAATAATATGCCAAAGAAGAAGAGGAGCGTCTAGCGCAGTGGATGCGAACCACGGAACGGATGCAAACGATGCTCGGGATCTCCCAGATGCAAACGATGCTCAGGATCTCCTAGATGAGAACGAGGGCAGGGGTGTAAAATGCTGCGAATTAACGCGGCCCGCGGTATCATCCTGCGGGCCGCGTCTTTCGTAAACTGTGAACGCCATTTTCGAACAAGCAGATCAAACGTGCGAACCAAACATGATGGCGGCGTTTTGAAAAGACCGCCCGCAATTTTAATCTGTCCCAAACGGGCCCTACATCTCCCAACATCGTGTAAGAAACTTCTAGCTCTAATATTTATTCGTCAGGTTGGTCATCATTGAGAGGGGATTCACAGGGTATTGAGTATGCTGCTAAAAAATCTGCCAATATTTGTTTTTTCAATGTGCTTAAAGGCACAAAAGTTATGTCGAATTGGAACATTATTATTGTCCATCTAGCCAATCCTCCGGAAAGCCATTGCGCTCTGTTTTGAAAGTTATTTTCTTGATCAAGAAATTTGTTTAGTGAAAGATGTTTTTTTTCTCAACATAATATGTTAGAGAATGGCGGAATCAGAGGCTACTTTATCACACAAAAATTTTAGAATCACTGTTAAAAATGCAGGAACTACTCTAAATAAAACCGAAGTGAATTTACTCACTCTTTGATCCTGTAAGCCCAAAATATCTCGAATTAGTCATAGGAATGCATACCATAATACATAGAGTCGTCTTAATTAAAATAAGAGTGCCGTGCATACAAAATGCAAACATTAATCTTAAAAGGATTTAATGGCCCAGAAGGGAATAGTATATCGAAGACTGACCCGTTATTATGAGAGCGTGATACTCACTTGACTCGACTTACCGAGCAAAACCATAAGAGCAGAACACAACACCACAATCGACTGGACTAGAGGCGAATAAGAAGGTGATTGGATGATCCATGCCGCTTGGTCATGTCCCTCTCCATTTTGCTACCTAAAGTTCAACCTCACTTCTCTCCCATCTTCTCCTTAGTCTAATCTTTCTTAAATCTTGATCGAATTAATCCTCAACTTGTAAGAAACCAAATAATAATAATATAACAATAACGAGGAAGATGGGAGATGGAACAACTGTCTGTTATGCATAGCTTGAGGTCAAAGAGAACAAGAGCGCAAAGGGTGCACATGCATCTCCTTTGCTTTCTAATTATGTTAGCTTGGCTCTATTATTCTTATCCTTATCCACATTCAGCTGGATCTATAAAGATTTATCAAAGTTTGAATTTTGATTTAATTGTTTTCAAAGTTGAGTTGATTAAAATTGTTACAATTTGTAAATTGCAAAATCTGATATCTTTGATTTATTAGAGGACAGGTGAGGGGAGTAGAGGTTTTGTAGCTCGCAAAGCTCCTGCGCTTACTAAACACTACTTTGAACATGCCCCTCTTTTCACGGCGAGAGTCGGTAGCGCCATGATCAATATTTGCATGGATTTCACCGTGCTTCGAGGAGCTGAGCCAAGCTTTTACTTGATCCACATTAATTCGGGTCAAAGTTGGATTGGATTCGGGTCTGGCCTTAAGTTAATCCGACTCAATTATGATTAATTTGAATTCAATTTGTTTATTATGTGAGTCAAAACATTTGTCATTAGTTCACTCGTCTATCCCATTTACTTAACACACCATATAATATTATTGATCAAACAAGTTCTAGTTAACCCATATTTGATCAGCTTAATTGAACCCAAAATTGAATAATAATTTGGTCAATATACTTAGAAGCTCTTTCTTTCAATAAAACTAGCCTGGCAAATGAGTTTAAGATGTAATAGAAAATTTTTCTTATACCTGAATGATAAAATAAAACTACTAACCTATAGTCAATTGACCGATAAATTCTCTCATTTTTATCTCTATACATGAATAAGGGGTTGTTCGGGGTTGCCTCAAATGTCTGCAAAAATATTTGTAAAGTTGTTATAGAAAAAACTATTGCTCATGAAGTTACAGTGACTATTATTTATTTTTTTATTTTCAAAAAGTCAGATAGTTATTTTTAGGTTAGGTTGTAGAATGAGAAAAAAATATTTCGTCCGGAAGTCCGTGCGTCTGGATGACTAATCACCGTCCGCCATGTTGTCTGCTGATGAGGAGTATGACGATGTGATGCCCGGTGGTTGGCCGTCTGGACGAGTGATATCTGGATTAAATATTTTCTCGCATAAGGGAGGTTTAATTTCTATCTCAACTTCTTCAAAAAACAAATAAAAAATTATTTTTTTCAAATATCTCGTTGGTAAGCCCATCACCACTACCACTCCCCCCATATTCACCTAAGTAGTGCAATGATAAGTGTTAATATTAAACATCATGCAACATTTAGATGAGTTGATATGTAATAAAATGTAAAGGTAGATGACATAAGTTTCTATGTGTAATCAAATATGTAAAAATATAGAGATTATGTAATTTAATTATTTAAATAAATAAATGTACATAAATCTTATTGAAGTTTAAATTTAGCGTAGGCATGTGGCTATCGCATCCCCTTCGTCATAGATCTCTTCATTCAATTCTCCACCCTATCCACAACAGAACACAGAAACTCTCCACGTCAGCAACCTAATCTACCACGTCAGCATCGCAAACCAATCATATCCTAGCATTAGATTGCCTCCCATCTCACCACAAGCCACACGGCCTACCCACACCCACAAAATTTCCCATTTAGCTCCCCCTTCCTCTCATCCCACCACACTCACTCCCCATCCAATCTTCTAGCAGGATTTCCTCCGACCAATGGCCTCACTAGCCGCCGCCGCCCCACCAGCCATCGGCCACTCCGAGATGCTCGGTATCTCCCTTGGCTCAATCTCCACCGTTCATGCTGCTGCTGCGCCTTCTTCCTCAGCCGCCGGCTTGAAGATCGTTGCTCTCTTTTCAAAGAAAGCTCCGGCCAAATCGAAGCCTGTTGCCGCCTCTCCGATCAGTGAAGAACTGGCCAAGTGGTACGGTACGTGACAAACAAAAAATTTAAGCACCCATAAATTTAAATTATGTTACATAAAAATCACACATTAATGTCATATTTTTTTAATGGAATTGAAGTAATTCTAAGTGGCTTTATTTTGGTTTAATTATATATAGGTCCTGATAGGAGGATATTCTTGCCGGAGGGGCTTCTTGATCGATCTGATGTGCCGGAATACCTTACCGGAGAAGCGCCTGGAGAGTGAGTGCTTCTTTCTGTATATGTATGTATGTATGTATGCAAATATCATTTGCTAACGTGCAAGCTTGGCAGCTATGGCTATGATCCTTTTGGGCTGAGCAAGAAACCAGCTGACTTTGCCAAGTGAGTGTTGACCAATTTAAATGATTGTTCTTCAGAACAAAAAATAAAATAAAATACTTTTTCCTGCAGTATATATATATATATATATA